CGGGTTATTTACCACTAGCACCACCTGGGAAGCCCAGTAAGCACACAGTGGCCAATCAATAAATGCATTCATTCATTAATAATGAAACATTTATTGAGTACCTGTACCAATTTTCATTGTCATTTCTGTTGATCAATTACCCTTGCCAGGCATGGAGCTAAGCTTTTACCTGCAGTGGATTTTTCCATCTTCACAAGAAGGCCTGAGTAGCCTCCTGTTATAAAGGGGGAAACTGAGGCACAGTACAGTCACCTGCCAGGTGTCACGTGGCTAATGAGTGGAGGAGCTTACAAGGGAATCTAGGCAGCAGGCTGTAGTCATGATGCTGCCAGCTCAAGAGCTGGGGGTGGAGTGGGGAGGAGGGGTTGGGTTGGGAACCGTATGATGGAGAATGGGATAGCCTAGCCCCAACTGTGTCTCCACAGAGCTCAGAACTGCTGCCACCACTTCATGGTGAAACTGTTGGATGATGGGAGCTTCATGATCCCTGGGGAAGAGAGGGCCCATGATTCTCTAGATGCTTTGGTCACCTTCTATCAGCAGCAGCCACTGCGGCCACATGGGGACCTGCTGATGCAATCCTGCCCACAGGTGAGGATTGGGACACCCAAGGGCCAAGCCCTCCAAACCCTTTTGGTCCTGCATGCCCCCTCTGCCTCTGGAGATCCCATCATTCTTGCAGTCCCCGTTCCCCTGGGGCCCCGCCACTCCTGGTCCTTGTTCCCTGGGTCCCCAGGCTGGTTTTTTTTTTACAGGGATTCATGTACCAGGTATAACCTTGGCTGACCTAGCAGAATAGCATATTTCCTTATAAGCCTCAGTGGGTGGGGCCTAGCCCTGAGAAGCTGATGTGGGAGGGACATATCTCCTTATAAGGATTGATAGGCGTGGCCTAGGCCCCCAGAAGTCATTGTGGGAGGAGGTGTGTCTCCTTATAAGGACTGATGGGCATGGCCTAGGCCCTCAGAAACTGCTGTGGGAGGGACATAATTCCTTATAAGGATTGATAAGTGTGGCCTAGGCCCTCAGAAACTGGCTGTGAGTTTGGCATAGGCCTTATAAGGCCCAGAGGGCAGAGCCTAGCCCTCAGTAGTTGCTGTGGGAAGTTTTGTGGGTGGGACAGGACCCCAGCCCCATCCCTGTCCCCTTCCTTGGGACTGAGCTGTAGGTCCCCTCTGCCCTGCAGAAGGATCCAGAAAATGTGGATTATGAAGATCTCTTCCTTTACTCCAACGCATTGGCTGAAGAAGCCACCAGCTCTGCCCTTGGCTTCAACGAACATCAGATTTCCTCCTCTTATCCCATGGCCCCGCTCAAGGAGGTATGCGACAGAAAGGTGGCATCTCCAATCTGGAAAGTGGGAGGTGGGGTGGCAGGATGCAGGGGCAGAGGTGACCCACAGCTGCCAGAGGAGAGTCTCTAGAATGAAGATTAGATCCTGTTGTTGTTCAAGTCCCTAAGTTGTGTCTGAGGGTGGAGCTTGCCAATGACTTGGAGGCGGAGGGTAAGTGGGGAAGAAGGTAATTGTCATGGTTTGAATCCCCATGCCTGCGTGCATGCTCAGTCACTTCAGTCATGTCTGACTCTTTGTGACCTTATGGACTATAGCCCTCCAGGTTCCTCAGTCCATGGGATTCTCCAGGCAAGAACACTGGAGTGGGTAGTCATTTCCTTCTCCACCCTCTGTGTGGCCCATGAGCTAAGCACAGCCTTTGTGTTTTTGAATATTTGAAAGAAATCAAAAGACAAATAGTATTTCATGACCTGTGAAAATCAGGTGAAACCCACATTTCTGTGTCCGTGAAGTATTATGGGAACACGGACAGGCTAGCTCACTGACCATAATCTCTGGCTGCTTACACAACAACAGCAGAGCTGAGTAATGAGGCACAGACTATTGGACTCGCAAAGCTGAACACACTGGCTCTCTGAACCATTATGGAAAAAGTCTGCTGCACGCTGGGGGAGATAGTGAAGCCCTTTACTGAGACAGGGAGGATGGGGCATGGGATCAGGTTTGGGAGGTTCTCTTGGGATCTTTCTCCATCCCAGGGTGTCTGGGTGGGACCTGGGTCCCCATTTCTGGGGGAGATTCAGCACTCTGGTGGGTGGGGTGGCCCCAGGTCTCACCTGTTCCCCGTTTCAGGCCTCTGCAAAGCCAGGCCTGCTCCATCAGTCAAAGGAAAGGAAGCTGTCAGCAAGGCTGGTAGGTGCATCCATGGAGGGTCCTCTTCGGGAGGCTCATCAGAAACTCTGGAGGAACCTCAAGATGCTCCCCAAGACAGGCAAGAAGGTCCAGCAGCAGCTGAAATCCCACCTGGTGGCTTTGAGCTCATCGTCAGTGACCAACGGCTCGGAAACCGGGACAGGTGACACAGCCTGGGAAAATCACGTCGGCAAGGACCGCTTTGTGGCCACGTCCCCCGCAAGCCCCCCACAGCCTGGAGCTCCCAGAGACAGACAGGGCCCCTCCAGGAAAACCTCAAGGTCCGTCAGCTGGAGCGAGGCAACCTCGAAGGTCAGGGACTGGCACCAGACAGTAGTAAGGGTCCTGTCCTTACAGGCATCCAAGCCAGACCCAGTGGACTTGAGAGAGTCACAGGACTCTCTCCCCGAGGAGTACCGCCCCCCGCCACCCTTCGCCCCTGGGTACTGCTAGTTTCACCCTGGCTCTGGGACCCTTACTGCTGGGGGCTGTTCATGCCTAGGCATCTTGCTTTCTGCCACAACCCACTATCCCTCAGGGACCTGAGAGATGTAATTAAAACATTGCTTGGGTCTGGTCCTATGATTGCCAGTGGGGTAACCTGGTCATTTTAATAATAATAATAAGGGTTTCCCTGGTGGTCCAGTGGTTAAGACTCCATACTTCCACTGCAGGGGACACAAGTTCAATCTCCGGTTGGGGCACTAAGATCCAACCTGCCATGTGGCAGGGCCAAAAGATAATAGTAATAATAACAATCAGTTATAGCAATGGGGTTAGGACACCTACTGTGTGCCAGGCCTCACACTAGACCCTCCACATTCATTATTTCTTTGATGCCTCTCAGCAGACCCAGGGACTTTACTGGTGTCTCAAATGGTAAAGAATCTTCCTGCAATGCAGGAGACCTAGGTTCATTCTCTGGATCAGGAAGATCCCTTGGAGAAGGGAATGGCAGCCCACTCCAGTATTCTTGCCTGGAGAATCCCATGGACAGAAGAGCCTGAAAGGGACTAACACTTTCACGTTTTTTTCACCTTCTGTGTAGGTCCACCAGGTAGGCTCATTCTGCATATTTTAAAGAAGAGGCAGGGGAATTCCCTGGCAGTTCTGTGGTTAGGGTTCTGCTCTCTCACTGCCAAGGGCCCAGGTTTGATCCCTGGTCAGGGAATTAAGATTCCACAAGCCTCAAGGTGCAACCAAAAAAAAATTAAATTAAATTTAGAAAATAAAGAAGAGACAGGTTCAGAGAGGAGAAGAGGTATGGCCAAAGTCACACACATGGCTGGGGTGTCAGCACCAGGACTTGAAGCCGGGGCAGTTTGAACTCTTTCTCCGCATCCCCTGCACCTGGGCACAGCTGTTCATGCCTTCCCCCTGGGTTTTTGGAGGAGATGAGACTCAAGGAAAGCTCAGCACAGTAGCATTCCTGACATCAGTGGCGGCTATAGGAGAAGCATAGGAGGCCCTTTGCTTTAAGAAGGGAGAGGCAGCCCAGGGCTGTGGTTGAGAGTGGGCTCAGGAGGAAATCTTGGGTTGTGGGGCTGTGTGACCTTTGGTGAGTTGCTCTCTGGGCCTGTTTCCTCATCCAGAAAATAAGAAGAGCAGTCCCCTTTCTCGGGATGAACCAGCAGAATGTGAATAAAACCTAGGGCTTTGGCGCACAGTTGGTGCTTAATAAATGGGGATTATGGTGGGAGGGGGCACCCTGGAAATGATGCACTCTGGAGGTGTCTGGGAAGGTCCCTGGAGTCTGGTTTCAGTCACAAGAATGATTACTCCTTGGATGGATCAGGGCCATGGAATGGGCCCCCAGGATGACTCTAGGTGGAGTAGAATGCTGTGCTGTGCTTAGTCGCTCAGTCGTGTCCGACTCTTTGTGACCCCATGGACTGTAGCCCACCAGTCTCCTCTGTCCATGGGGAGTCTCCAGGCGAGAATGCTAGTGGGTTGCTATGCCCTCCCCCAGGGGATCATCCCACCCCAGGGATTAAACCTAAGCCTCCCACATTGCAGGCAAATTCTTTATTGTCTGAGCCCCCAGGGAAGCCCAAGAATACTGCAGTGGGTAGCCTATCCCTTCTCCAGGGAATCTTCCCGACTCAGGAATCGAACCAGGGTCTCCTGCATTGCAGGCGGATTCTTTATACCAGCTGAGCTACCAGGAGAGCCCAAATGGAATAGTGTGTGGCTTCCCAAATCTGCAAGATGTGAGGTTTGGGATCTGCAGTGAGGTGGGCCTGGGCTCAAGTCTGCCCCTGCAAATGACTTCAGGTGTGGCCCTGGGCAAGTCACTCCACTGTCTCTGAATGAAGTGGGAGTGCTTCTCTGCCAGCCCTGCTGGGATGTCACAGGGGGTCAACACAGTGGCAGAATGGCAGGTGCTTCATGACTATAAAGCACTGTGCCAGCCTCAGTGAGTGACATTCCTGCCCAGAGGCCTCCTCTGGCAGTTCTGATGAATCAATGAAGAGGTGAAGCTTTAGTCTCCTTGAGAAATTCAGGGATTGAGTGGGGAAAGGGGGACTTGAGTAGTCATGTTTCACCCCTGGGGATGCCCTGGGGTGGGACAGCAGGGGCCTCATCTCCTCTGCCCACTGGGCAAGTTACCTCCAGCCCTCACAGTGGAGAGATGTCCAGAGTCAGCCCTTTCCTTGTACAAATGGGGAAGCCATGGCCCACAGAGGGTGCAGCTACACCAGAATCACACAGTGAGGACAGAGGTGCGATCCCAGGCTGTCTCCCTCTGATCTACCAGGTTTAGGGGGGAAACACATTTTCCAGGCAGCTGTGACTCAGTGATGTGTGTTTATTCCCAGAGCCCAGGGAAACCAGACTTCACAGCAGGATGACAGGTTCGTCCCGATGTCCTCTGGCCCGGCTCCTCCTCCGTGGTACCCTCAGATGCGGATGTGGAAGGTGCTGGGTGCAAAGAGGAAAGGAGTCTGTCAGACTGTCAGTCTGTCAGTCTGTCAGGAGGCAGAGAGCAGCCTCCCTTCATCCTCTTCCCCAACACTCCCACCAGGAGTCCCCAAAGCAGGCAAGGAGCCAAAGAGGGTGGGTGGGGGGAAATGGACCCCTTCAATAAACCCTAGGCCATGGTCTTCCTGGCCCCTACAGGGGTTGAGAGCACATCCTTTTGAATAAGAGATTATATCCTGTCTCTGCCCCAGACTCTGGGCCTCAGTTTACTTCCCTGTAAAATCAGGATAATGGCAACCTCCTCCAAAAGGACTTCTCACCTACCAGGTGATGCAGCAGTCATTGCCCCTACCATAGTTTGACCTCAGGCCAAACTACAGGGAGGGAACACAGCCCCACCCATCAGCAGAAAATTGGATTAAAGAGTTACTGAATGTGGCCCTATCTCACACGCTAGTAAAGTAATGCTCAAAATTCTCCAAGCCAGGCTTCAGCAATACATGAACTGAGAACTTCCAGATGTTTAAGCTGGTTTTAGAAAAGTCAGAGGAACCAGAGATCAAATTGCCAATATCCGCTGGATCACAGAAAAAGCTAGAGAATTCCAGAAAAACATCTGCTTCATTGACTATGCCAAAGCCTTTGACTGTGTGGATCACAACAAACTCTGGAAAACTCT